CACACACACACATACACACGCACACACACACATACACACGCACACACACACGCACACAAAGACACGCACGCGCACGCACGCGCACACGCACGCAGGCACGCACGCAGGCACGCACGCAGGCACGCAGGTACGCACACACACGCATGCGGGCACGCACGCAGGCATGCACGCAGGTACGCACGCAAGCGCGCACGCACGCACGCACGCACACGCACGCACGCATCCGTTCGCACCCGCACACGCACGCATGCACGCACGCGCGCACACACGCGCGCACACCCATTCAGACACAGACACAGACACATGCACATGACTTCAACGTATCACAGAATTTTGCATTGTCGAAGCACAATAAACGCCCTTCTCCAACTACAAATCGTGGGTTGGAGTTCATTTTTCTCCATCCGCATCTCTCATGTTTCCAACTCTAGTTTCTCGATCTTTCTTTCCACCTTTATAATTCAAGCATGCGAAAAAAAAAAAAAAAAAAAAATCGACAACGACCGCGCCCGAGAAACGACGGGCGATTGACGCAACAAATGTTTGGCAAACGGCAAAACGTCCATCCCAACTGCTATGGATGTGCTGCTGGGCGGGCTCGAAGTTGACAAAAACGCCGAGTAACGGAAGCAGCACCATTCGGCACCCATGGCGCCAGGGGTGCCTGTGGCGCATGTGGCGCCAAACGCGACAAACACGGAGCACGCGCCTGCGGCAAACGCACCCCTCAGAGTATCGTGTCAGCGCCAGAGGTGTCGTACGGCCGCCTTGTCTAACGCGACGGCTGACCAAGCCTTGACCGAGGCGTTGACCCCAAACCAAGTCAAAGCCCTTCTGTCCCAGTTACTGCTGCACCTTGCTAGCGTGACCACCGCCGAAAGTACACAACATACAGAATCCGCATCTGCTAAAAACAACATTGCAAAATAAGATGCCATCAACTCGTCGCTATGGCCCAATTGAAATGGGAACGATGCCAATTAAGAAGGACAAGAAAGCAATTTTTCTACACATATTAAATATAAGAATGAATTATACATTTGGACTAGCCTCGTAGGCATTTCTCTTAGAGGCTGGACTAGTTGTGTGTCGATAGACCTGCACTAGGGATCTCCGATTGATCAGCAGAGGTTTACATGTTGAAGTAGTAGGCTAGGAATGAATGGACTAGGTCAAAGGAGGGTTACAAGAAGAATGTCGAGAAGATTTGTGTACCCCTAGTGCTAACCCCCATACAACCTACATAGATATGAACATGTAAGTTTTGGGACACCCTCATAGGCGAAATGGGGGATAGCTAGAGCAAGCAATGGTCACAAGACCAGTCAAGAGAAGAAGCAAAGCAAAGCTCAGGGTGAATCTCAAGATCACCACACAGTCTGAGCACAAGCAAGTGGCCACAAGGCCAGTAAACATGAAGAGATATAAAACGCAAGCAATACAGTGACCACAACGTAGCAAGATTACACATGCAAGTTTAGATACATAGATCACAGTACAAGGTAAAGTCAAGAGATAAGCAAGTGAGGCAGAGTAGGCGCAAGGCCAAGAGCAGTGCAGAAACGCTGATTATCACTAAACACAAGTGCCTTGGTGAAAACATCAGTAATGTTGTGTCAGAGGTCCATTGGAGATCCTCGATTGATTCTAGGGAAGCGTTACAGGCACGTTGGTCTTGGGGGTTATGGGCGCACTCACCCGCTACACAAACAAGCCATTTTATCCCAGTGGTTAGTGGCTGTGATTTTGACATGGTATCAGAGCGAAGGTCTCGGGTTAGAATCCCAGCGTGTGTACTTCGCGCATCCCAGTGCGGGGGGTTGTCAGAGGTCCACTGGATATCCCCGATTGATCATAGGGAAGGTTTACAGGCACGTTGGCCTGAGGGGTTATGGGCACAGTCACCCGCTACACAAACAAACCATTGTATCAAAGTGGTTAGTGGCTGGGATTCTGACATGTTGGCCCGTGAGACCACGTAAGCAAGGCGAAGTGGTTAGTAGCGCAGAGCGATATGCTTCGTTTTGTGCTCCAGTCTGTGGTCCTGATGTCAGAACTTATATTTGTAACTGCCTGTAGCTGTAGTTAGTGTAGTTATTATAAACTTTGTTTGGTGGTGCACCTTATTTGTTTCCTTTGCTATATGTTCTTCGAAACCTATAGTGAAACCATCCTTTCCAACTTTCTCGACTCTCACCCTAGGCACAAACTACTCGACATCCTAGTTGGGCCTAGGCTCCTAAGCCTAGGCCCTAGTTAAACTTGATCATCCCTCGTTTCTTCTCATGCTATCAGAGCGAGTTACGTCCTGGCCTGTGGGCCCGCCTCATGCTTCCGCTGCTACGTTTTTCCGGTCGCGCGCCTAGGGCGCGTGGCGATTTTCTATTGTCCCGCCCCCGGTTGGCGAGTGACTCCTACTCTGCCCGTCGCGCGCCCCGTGGCACGCGACGGTGCCCTAAACCTGCCCGTCGTGCGCCCCGTGGCACGCGACGGTGCCCTGCTCGTCGTGCGCCCCGAGGCACACGACGGTGCCCTTACCTTAAACTTACCTGTCGTGCGCCCCGTGGCACGCGACGCGCCTCTCCGCACCTGCTCTCACTGCAGCCGCCCCTGACCTACCTGCGCCGACACATTGTAGTCGCTCTGCGGCTTTCTTCCCGCCCACCCCCTCCTCCTTTGTCTCCCTGCAGCCGTGGGGGGGAGGGTATGGGGGTGGCGGGTGTTGGAGCGTTGGGTCGTATCCTTCCCTTCCCCTCCTCCTCCTTTCGTTCCCACTGCTGCAGCTGCCGCTGGGGGGGAGGGTGTGAGGGTGTGGGGGAGACGGGGGAGTGGCACCGGGGTGGCGGGTGTGAGGCAACCAGCAGCCGTCCCTCCACCTCTCCTCTCTTCCCCCCCCTCTCTGCTGCTCCTGCAGCAGTGTGGGGGAAGGGAAGGAGGAGGGTGAGGAGATGGAGGGGGTGACCAGCTAGTGTTAGCCCGCCTGCAGTACCTGCTGTTGCTTGTTTATTATTTTGCATGTGTACCCCTGCAGGTTGTATTCTGCACAAACTCCTGATGCAGGCAGTTATGGGGGAGTGTCAGAACTTATATTTGTAACTGCCTGTAGCTGTAGTTAGTGTAGTTATTATAAAATTTGTTTGGTGGTGCACCTTATTTGTTTCCTTTGCTATATGTTCTTCGAAACCTATAGTGAAACCATCCTTTCCAACTTTCTCGACTCTCACCCTAGGCACAAACTACTCGACATCCTAGTTGGGCCTAGGCTCCTAAGCCTAGGCCCTAGTTAAACTTGATCATCCCTCGTTTCTTCTCACCTGACACAATGCAATTATTTGTCGACGTACAGAACTGGAGGAGAACGAGGCCGGTCTCTCAAGTCGGTCCAGCGTAACTCCTGTATAGCCATGGTCCCCGTGTAGATCTCAGCCTCACAACTGGCGCTGAGAACCGAAGACAAGCAGGTAGTCCTAAAAAAATCTGAACCGGAGCCAAGGCTAAAGGTGTAACCCTGTGACGACCGCCGAGTCGCCTGGTCGTCTACCCAAGAAGCGTGTCGCACGTGACGTAGCCAGCGTACAGGCAGCGCGCGGGCGGAGCAAGCAGCGCGTGGGCAGAGCGCGTGCCGCACAGGCTACGCGTAGGCTGTGCAGGTAGCACGCGGGCAGCTGGCGAGTCGCGCTCAGGGGCTCACTAAAGGGCGCACTACGGGCAGGAAAACCGACGCGCATAGGGGCGTGATTCGGGCAAAAAAATCGACGCGCCCTAGGGGCGCGATTCGGGAAATGGAAGAGGAATGGATGGACTATGTCAAAGGAGGGGTACAAGAAGAGTGCCGAAATGAATTGTGTACCCCCTAGTTCTAACCCCCATACAGCCTACATAGATATAAATATATATTTTTTTACATCACAGGCATGTTAGTCTGGGGGGATGGGCGCACTGACCCCCATATGGAACAAACCATTTTATCCTAGTGGTATAATGACTGGGATTTTGACATGGTATCAAAGCGAAATGTTATGGGTTCGAATCACCATTTGCGCACATGCTGTCGAAGGCACTGTGCCGTGTCGTGGGCCTCCCCGCCCCGTGTGGCAAGGTGTCGAGTTACCTGCAATGCGGATCCTTAATTGATCATAATTGGATTACATTCATGTTAGCTTGAGGTTTTGGACGCACTGACCTGCATATTGAACAAGCCACATTTTTCCTATTGGTCTAGTGATTGCCAGCCTGAATTAAATCACTTGCTTCGTTGTTGTTGTTGACTGATCTTGTCACTGTTTGTTTCTCTTGCTCATTTTGATGCCCCTCACGTACCCTATGGAGTTGTGTCAAGTTATATTGATATCATTGTTGTTGTGCAGCAGTGAGTGACATAGTATAGGGTATAATACTTTGGTATCTGTACCAATATCTTACTAGTGGAACACCATTCCGCTGTCCTACCCGAACAAAGTCGTATGGTAACATTTTGCGTGACTCACAGTTTTTTTAAGTTATTGTTGCTATTATCCTACGGGTGTTGCATGTTAACATCATCAGAAAATTTCAAATACATTATCTGGCCTTTTTTTTATAATCCGTTAGCTCGCTCAAATGCACCCAGAACTCTACACAAGTTATAGATTGGAGAAACTACACCAAGGAACTGTATTTGCTGTTACCAATGTTTAAATTAGACCAGGGAATCGTGCAACGGAGCACACGAAGTTACAAATCCCCTCACGCACTTCACGCTTTCAGCTGATCGTAGCACTCACTCGAATTCAAGCAACCATGGTGGCACTCGCGTCGTCCTCGCCCTACCTCCCGGGCCCGCTTCGTTCGTAGTCGCCTCTCGCCTTCATCACGCACGACCTGGCTCGGTCCTTTTCTTTTATCGTCCCATCTTCGTCCCGAGACCCGTCGCTTCATCCTCGCCCACCACACCCTTTGGCCTTCCCGTTATCTGAGCCTCTCGCATCTTTCCTCCCACGCCCTCACCCCGCCCGTCCGCCATGGATCTCCTCTTTCAAAAGTCCCTCACCGACGTCATCAAATCCCTCCGCGCCGCACCATCCCCCGCCGAAGAGGCCAAGATCCTCGCGAAAACCCTCCGCGACGTGCGGCGCGAAGTCAAGTCGTCGGATCCGCGCAGCAAGGCGGCAGCACTAGAGAAGCTCCTATACCTGCACATGCTGGGGCAGGCGGGCGGCTCGGATATCGCGTGGGCGGCGTTCCCGTCCGTTGAGGCCATGGGGTGCCACCGCAGCTTCGCCGTTAAGTACGTTGGTTACCTCGCCGCCGCGCATAGTCTCTCCTCGGCGCCCGACGTGGCGGTTCTCGCGACGCACCAGCTGCGGAAGGATCTGACCGGGCAGCACCCGCACGACGCGTCGCTCGCGCTCTCATGCATCGCTTCGGCGGCGCCGCCGGGGCTGGCGGCGGAGCTCACGACGGAGGTGGTGGCGCTGCTGAACGGCACGCGCGTCGCGGGGCGGCGCAAGGCCACTCTGGCCATGCTCAGAATTGTGCACCAGCAGCAGATGCAGCATCAAAGTAGAGCGAGCGGCGGGGTTGGAGGATCAGGAGAAACAGGCGGAGACGACGACGAGCTGCCTGCGCTGCTCGCGAGGCTCGCGGAGCGCCTGCACGACAGCGACAGGGCAGTGGTAACCGCCGTGGTGTCGCTGGTGTGCGAATTAGTCCTGCACGAGCAGCACCAGCGGAGCACCAGCAGCAGCACCCCTATCGATCCAACCCTCCAATCCGGCCCTTCACAAGCACAGCAAACCCAGCAGCAGCAGCAGCGCGCGGCCTCGGGCAAGCCACTACCGTCCAAGTACCTGCCTCTGGCGCCCGATCTGTTCCCGCTACTGCACCCGTCGTCGTCCCCCTGGCTGCTCATCAAGCTCGTGAAGACGTTCGCCGCGCTCGCCGCCGCGGAGCCCCGCGTGGCGCGCAAGGTGGCAGAGCCCCTGGCGGCGCTGCTGCGCGCCACGCCCTCCAAGTCGCTGCTGCTCGAGAGCGTGCGCGCCGTCGCGCTCAGCATGCGCCACGTGGACTCCCTGCGCCAGCTGGCCATCCGCGTGGCAGCCACGCGGCTAGTGGCGAACGAGCCACTGGCTGCGGATCTTGGCACAGGCAGCGCAGGGGACGGTGGGGGCAGCGGCGCTGGCGGTGCAGCGGCCAGCAGCAGTGGCAGCACTTCTGGTGCTGCGAGCGCGGCAGCACCGGCAGCGGTGGTGGGAGCGCACGACGCGAACGTACGTCTGCTGGGGCTGCGAGCACTGGAGATGTTCCTACCGCACCACGCGCTCGAGGTTCTACGCTTCAAATCCGCCATCATCGCATCACTCGACGACGCAGACCCCGCCGTGCAATCCGCGGCGCTGCGTCTGATCACGGCGCTCGTCACGCGCCCGTCGCTCGTGCCGTCGGTGGCGGCGCTGCGGCAGCGCATGGCGGGGGCGGCGGCGGTGCGCAGCCCGCTGTGCGGCGAGCTGGTGACGGCCGTGCTGCAGATGTGCGGCGCGGGGGGGTTTGAACGCGTGGCGGATTTCGTGTGGTACATAGACGTGCTTCAGGACATCTGCTACGTGGCGATTGTGGGCGGGGGTACCTCCACTGCCAGCCTCGCCCTGCCCTCACACGCAGGTGCAGGCGCAGCAGCAGCAGCAGCGGACGAGAGTGTGTGGTCACTGGCACCCCTGGGAGACCCATCAGCCAGTTCCCATGGATACAGTCGCAGAGTGAGTGGTGCCTCCGGTCTCACCCACGCCCTATCAGCCGGAGCAGCAGGGGCAGAAGCATGGGCGGGCAGTGAGAGGAGCAGGGAGGTGGGGCGGCACCTGGTGGCGGTGGCACTGGGGTCGCCCGTGCCGGTGGCAGACCGGGCGCGAGTGAGAGCAGCGGCGCTGCACCTGGCGCTGCGCCTGGTGGGGGATACAGCGCTGCTGAGGAGCAGGGCGGGCGGCGACCACGTGCTGGCTGCTGCAGCGTTCCTCCTGGGCGAGTGCGCTCACGAGCTGCTGCCCCGGGGTGCTGGTGCTGCTGCAGATGCAGGGGCGCGTGAGAGCAGCAGCACTGGCAGTGGCACAACCGCGCTCTCTGCTCCATCCCAATCCCCCTCTGCACCACCATTGTCAAGATCAGAATCAGCAGGTGCCCTGGACTCGACTCTGTCCTCCCTGCTCGCCTCGCTGCTTCAGCCAAGTGTGCTGCTTCTGCCCCCGGCAACCCAGGCTGTGTTCCTACAGGCCGCTCTCAAGGTGCTCCTCGCCCTCACAGCGCAAGCCACACCCACGCGCCTGCTGCCAAGGGGGTCATCACCACCAGCAACTGGGAGCAGCCTTGGAGCAGGAAGCGAATCGCCAGGCTCGGTAACTAGTGGTGGCTGTGCTGCGGCAGGGACAGAAGCGCGGTGGACTGTGGCAGCAGCGGCAATGGCAGAGGCAGCAGGAGCAAGGGGGAGCGGAGTGCATTGGGTGGTGCATGTGCTAGAGGAGGCACGTGAGCGGCTGGTGCCGTTCCTGCAGTCTGCTGATGCAGATGTGGCGGACAGGGCCTGCAATGTGGCTGCTCTGCTGGGCCTGCTGCTGCCTCTGCTGCTAGAGTCTGTGCGCGCTGAGAGGCAGGTTGATCAGGAAGGGCAGGAAGGAGGAGGGGCAGCAGGAGAAAGTGATGTTGCTGGAAGCACTGTGGAGGGAAAGCCGGTGGATTGGGGAAATGCAGGCGTGGGCGTGAATGAACAGCACAAGCAACAGCAGTTGGAGCAGCAGTTGCTGATGCTTTACACCTTGGCCTCACTCTTCTCTGCCTCCCAATTTGACGCGGCCGCACCCCACCCTCCTCTTGCGCTCACACCTCCGGCGTCTAAAGTCACAGCAGTGGGAGCAGCAGGCAAGCAGCAGCTACTGCGAGCTGTGGAGAAAGCAGCAGTGGCGATGGGAGTAGGCCCTCCTGGTGCCATGCCTTGTGGCAGCAGCAGTGGTTATGGTGCTGGTGCTGCTGCTCTGGCATGGCTGGACGCTTTTGGGCAGTCATCACACGATGAGTGGGATTCTGGTATCCTCTTTGTGCGCTCGCTGCCACCCCGCTTCCTGCCCACCTCCTCCATCCCCTCTTCCTCCTCTGCCATTCCTGGCAGCAGGACAGCAGCAGCAGCTGGAGGGGCAGGAGTGGCGCTGCATGGTGGTGCTATGGGCTATGCTGTGCCTGGACAAACGATGGGTGGAGGGGGAGGAGGGGGGGCAGGCGGTGCGAGTACGACCCAGCAGGTGGGTGCTGGGGTGGAAGGCAGCACGGAGGAGTGGCGCAAGCGCAACAGTCTCTTTTACCTGCCATCAGGGGGTTCCCCCAAGGCAGAGGGCAGAGGCAAGGAGGTGCAGAGCAGGGAAGGGGAGGGCAGGGGCAGTGCAGGGGGTGCAGAGTTTTCTCCTGGTGCTGCTGCTGCTGCTGCTGCTGCTGCGTCGAGTGTTTCAGCGAGAGGAGATTTCCCGTCGGCTGTGGGTGACTATGACTACCCACCTGCCGTTGGCGACGAGGCTGTTGCAGAATTTCTGCCGTCGAGAGGGTCGGGGGGAGGGAGCAAGCGAGCACCACCGTTGTGTGGCTTGTTGGAAGAAGAATCGTGATACCGGTTATCACAGAAAGATGCGGCGATAACCTAACCTGGTCAGTGTCAGTGACAGCTGGATGTGCGTGTGAGTGACGTCATAGGCGAGCGTATGCTGGCTAGGCAAAGTAGAACTGCATTGTATGTGTTTTTAGGCCTCTACGGTGGAAATAGATTGTAACATCTACAATGAGTGGAATCCCATGTTTCTACAGTTACGGGCGACGCGCAACGCCTTTTTAGCCTTTTATTCCTGGCCCCCTCTCCCCGCACATCACTCGTTTCAATCAAACCCGTATCATACCATATCAACCCGACCATATCAACTGTCTGCGTGCATTATCGGGGTGTGGTGATGCTAGTCCCTTTTCTTGTTTCCAGAGCCCCAAATGCGCCTGGGTTCTTCGCGTCAATTTCCGATGAAAACTACTATTGTGAGAACTTACCCCTATGCATGACCCCGTGCGTGCGAAAACCAGGTCGAAGAGTCACATATAATGAGGTGGAAAATATAAAACATTCAGGACAGGAAGTTGAAAGTGAATGCCTCCGATATTCGGTTCTGGCGGGAAAAAATGTCAAGAAAGCGAGTCACAAATTGGAGTGTAGTTCTTTTGCCAGCGGTCTTCGTCAGGTTCGCAAAAAAAAAAAAAAATGTGACCGCCAACGTTAGGATTGTGATTACTTCCAAGCTTCGAGTCGATAGATGTATTTACACAGGATGGTCCTGATCCTTTCGACCTGGACTCCCGAAATTCCAGGACTCCTGGTCACACGGGTGGAATGGAGTGGAGTGGAGTGGATTGCTTATAGCCACGACGACAACTGTACACCACCATGTCGTGGTCCTCTCTGAGTCACCTCCGCCATCGCCGCCATGCAGCAGCATCTCATCCGAGAGCCAATGACGCGCGGTGCTCACTTGGATCGCCGCTGCTGCGTGGCAGATGATAAGAACTACGCTCCATGGCCATCATGGCCATGACCTGCGGCCATGGCGCCTGGTGCACTCTCACACTCCGTACGATACACACAACAACCACCATCGCCGCTGCTGCGGATTCACGGCGTGGGTGTGTTTTGGATACATGCGGAGGCTTTTCCGCAACATTTCGGCAGAACCGCCTTTGGACAAGCAATTTTGGGCCAAAACCTTTTCCGCGATGTTTCGCTACCCATTTCTAAGAGGCCACCGTGACTGTTTTCGTGGTCAGCAGCTGCAGCTATCGCACCCGTCCCACGGATGCGACGCGCGCTACTAGCATTGTATATCGAGCAGAAACCAGTCGAGGGCAAGCGCAGCGTCGGCCCGCCTGGGAAACGCGGCTCTCCGTGAAGTGCGGCCTGGCCACACATCATAATGAGTAGTCGCAGCCGTTACAGTGATCATCTCCTCACTGTCATTACGCCTCGCCTCGTTTCATTATGACCCCGTGCCACATTCCCTATGCTTTCTCCTTACTGCTAATAGTATGACGGGACGACAGCAGCGGTACTACTAGTACTAGGTTCCCCATTTCATCCCCTCCTGCTATCCCCATCACACATTCCTCCAACCACCGTCCCCTACCATATCGCCTCCCGTTTTTCAGCTCTCACCGTGCCCTTCTCACCCTCACGCCTTTCTCCCGCTCTCCCTCCCTTCTCCATGCACGTCCCGCGGTCCTCCTCGTCCTCGTCGTGCTCTCTCTTCCGCCTCTGCGGGCCTCACGTGCTCCTCCTCATCTACCTCCTCGTCCGATCTACTCTCACCACCACGCTGCTTCTCCACCTCCCTCAGATCCACCCGCCCATCACCTCCACTATCATCAATACCACCACTCCCACATCTGCCACATCATCTGCCACCGCTCCCACCATTCCCTCCACTCCCATCACTCGCACCGCTGCCACCGCCATTCCCAGCGCCTTCCGCGCCACCGCCGTGGAGCGGCCCTTCCCCCGCGCGCCTGCCTCAGCTGCTGCCCCCCCCCGACGTCAGGGACCCCTTGCCCTCGCCACCGCTGCCGCCGCCGCTGCTGCTCCCGCCGATGCAGCAGCTGCCGCCGGCGCCGGTGCCGCAGGTCATGCTTTCGGCGGGCGCAGAGGGCAGGCGCTCACAGGCGCGACGAGCAGAACGCAGCTGCTGCTGCGGGGAGGCTGGCGCGGCGCGCAGCTGCAGGCCGCGGGGCGCAGTGGGCTCTAGGACGGCGGAGAGAGCGCGCGTGAGTGGGGCGCGGGGGAGCATGCAGCGGAGCAGCAGATGCTGAGACTCGCGGACAAGGCTTTCCAGGTGAGCGGCGTGGTGGTAGTGCGTGCAGGTGCTGGGTGATGGGGGATGACGAGAGTGCTGGATGAAGGGCTCAGAGAGATGATGGGGATGGGGATGATGATGATGATGATGATGGGGATGATGATGATGATGGGGATGATGATGATGATGGGGATGATGATGATGATGGGGATGATGATGATGATGATGGGGATGATGATGATGATGATGGGGATGATGATGATGATGGGGATGATGATGATGATGGGGATGATGATGATGATGGGGATGATGATGATGATGATGATGATGATGATGATGATGACGACGACGACGACGACGACGACGATGATGATGATGACGAACAGCTTCCTTGCAATTTCCCTCCCCCTCCCCCCTTCCCACCCTCCCCTTCCCCTCCTCCCCTCCCCGATCGCACCCCGCCGCCCCCCTGGTCTCCTCTCACCAAATCTATCACAACTTCTCATTGCATAGCCTCGTCCTCCCATTACCTTCCGTCCGCCTCCCATCATTCCCTTTTTCTCCACGTGCCCCTACTCTCCCCCATTACCTCCTCGCGCCGGCAGCACAACGAGCAGCGGCGGCAGGCGTGGGCGTGGGAGCGCAAGCAGGCGATCGCAGCGGGGCGAGAGGACGAGGTGCAGGGGGGCACGGAGGCCACGCTCTCACAGCTCATCCCCACATACCCCTGCCCCAGGGAGCAGCGCCTGGGGGTGTGGGCCGATGGGGGCAAGGTGGGGGCAGTTGATGGGGGGAGGGCTGGCTGGCTGGTTGGTGGGGAGCGATTTCAAGGTGGTGCATGTGCCGTGCTTGTGGGGTCAGTGAGTCAGTGACACGCGCAAGGGCTGGGAGCGCATGGGGGCAGTGAAGCCCATGCATGTCTGTTGCTGCTTAGGGCCTTGCGCCTGCTGGCTGCACTGCTCACTGCCTCTCTGACCGTCTTGCTGTCTCTCTGGCTGTCTTGCTTGCAGCCTTGCAGCAGTGTCATGGTCTTTGTGTTTGTATATAGAGCTGCTGTCAACATGTTACCACACATGGACTTGCGTTCCCACAGACTCGTCCAAAACGCTGCATTCATTCTTTACCCGTCCCCCTGCCGCAAATGCTGTAAATGCATCCTCTTCTACTCGCTCACACTTATCCGTACCATGCCCACCCACCCTCCCTCGTGTTCTCATGTGTCTCCAGTGGCTATGTGCAGTGCGGTCGGCCTTCCAGCGCCATCCCGTGGTCTACAGGTGAGCACTCAGCACCCACGCACCACACAGCTGCAGAAGATACACTGCCCTGCTCTCTTAGCAGCTGAGAAAACTTACGTGCAGCCCTGAACCAGCTAGAACCTTCAAAACCCAACATGCACGTGCAGCCCACAGCAAGCGAACGTCCCTGGCCGTCACCCTTCCTCCAATAACGCCTCCCAGGTCTCCATCCCCCACCCCCACCCCCATCCCCACCCCCACCCCCACCCGCACGCCTACCCCCACGGCACCAGCATCGGCAGCAACGAGGAGGTCTCATTCGAGCAGGACATCGGTGCCCTCCTGCACACCACGCCGCTCACCTTCGACCCCTTCGTGCCACCCGCCTTTGCTGACTTCCTGAACCACTCCTTCCACTGCCTCTCCTTCTACTCCACCGGCCTCTCCTCCCAAGCAAGCCTCGAGAAAACCCGCGCAGCGAACCCGGAGCAGAAGTTTTTGACGCTGCCCGAGCTGATGGCAGAGCACGGGCATGCGTATGTGGACGTGTTAAAGCTGGACTGCGAGGGGTGCGAGGAAGAGGTGCTGCTGGAGCTGGGCTCTACTGTGTACCCCTCACAGCTACCCCTCGTGGGGTGGCCGAGAGCGGAGAGGGAAGAGGAGGAGGATATGGGGGGTGGGCGGAGGGAAGGACGGCGGGAGGTGGTGGTTGGTGGTGGTGGAAGGAGGGGATTAGCGGGGTCGGGGGTGGTGGTGAGAGGCGGTGGCGAGGGCATGGTGCGAGGTGGTGAGGGGGAGAGAGTTCCAGCGGTTGGTCAGATACTGGTGGAGATGCACAGGTGAGCCAGCTGTGCTGCTGCTGCTGGGGTGCATGTGGCATGCACCGACAGCACAGACAAGACACAGCAGGTACCGTGTGGGTTAGTCACGCATGGTGGAGTGGCTGTAGCAGCGTAAAGGAGGTATGGCATGTGGCAGATTATAGGATGATGAGGACCGGTAGCAAGCAAGCAACCCTTGCTGTGCTGTGCACAGAGGCATGAGCATCAGCAGGGGCAATATCCTCAATAACATCCACAGTGTACACGCAGTGTGCTCTGTGCACTCTACCACACCCTCTTGCTGACCCCGCCCATATGCCACTGCTCCCAACTGCTTCTTCCCGCAGCACTCTCACCAATCATCTCGTACCTCTCCATCTCCTTCCCCCTCACCTCTCGTCACGCCTCCCTCGACCGCATGCCCACCTGCCCTCTCTCCCCCTCCCCAGGGTGAAGGACTCAGCAGCGACACTGGCAGTGGTGGGGCATCTAGAGCAGCTGGGGTACCGTCTCTTCCACGTGGAGCCCAACCCTGTCGCGCCTGCACACTGCGTGGAGCTCGCCTTCATCCACAGGCGCCTCGTTGACGTTTGAAACGTCATCCAAAAGTCAATGTGCAGCGCGCCCCAACCCCATCGCGGCTGCACATTGTGCGGAGCAAGCATTTATCCACCACCGCCTTGTGCTGCCCTCCTCTGCCGCCCTTTTCTGAGTCCTCCAGAGAGGACCTCTCTCTACGACGTGCAGGGCAACTCCACTAACGCCACTACCACCACTTCATGCAGCCCTGGGGTTTTGTTGCTGGGGGCTGCTATGCTACTGAGCTACCGTATATGCTGTGTAGGCCATCCGGACCCTGGTGTTGAAATTTATCTGCCTCGTTTACGTGAAACCGAGTCCATTAATGAATAAAGAGTATGGTCCTTGGACTTGCACCAACTAGCCATACTAGGTACCACCACCCACCCACCCACACGAGTGACCCTGTAATCTTCTCAAGCTTTGGACAAGGAAATCATACCCTTCTTGCAACCACATGAACCGTCCAATCCCATCCCATCCCATCAGCGCATGAGCCACCCCTTCTTAGGGTCCACCCTAACCGGCTTCTCCAAGAGAGCATTCACCTGCACATGCACACTCCCGTCACTCTCCTCCCCCACGCCACCCCTGGGCAGCATGTGCCAGTGCAGGCGCTTGTACCCCAGCCCGTCCACCAGTGCCACATACAGCGGCAAGTCTCGCAGGGGGAGCAGCAGAGAGTCGAGCCAGAGCACGCCGCCCACTCGCAGCACGCGGTCCCACTCGAAGAGCATGTGCTCCCAGGGGAGGAGAGGGGTGAGAGGGAGGTAGTGCATGCAGGTGGCGCCGCAGTGGATGATGTCCACTGTGTTGTCGAAAAGTGGTAGCCGTTGCTGCGAGTGGGGAGGTGGACAGGGGAAGTGGGGGAGAGAGGTTCAGGAGATGCGGGTAATGTGATGTGATGAGGTGACCAGTTGTGGCATGGTGTGGTGCAAGTTGCTATACTGTTACATGTGGCATATCACAGCACAGCACATCACAGCAGGGCACCGCACATCCCAGCACATCACAGCACATCACAGCACATCACAGCACATCCCAGCACATCCCAGCACATCCCAGCACATCCCAGCACATCCCAGCACATCCCAGCACGCACTGAGTGTGGCACGTGCAGGGGAATGAGTCCCCTCAGTGCAATTGTCTCCATGTATGGGGTGCCCTGCGCCTGCATTGATGTCCGCCCCGTGCCCTGTGCCTCCGCATTAATAGCCGTGGTGAGAACTGTCACGTTGTATCGTGCCATGTGTGCCGCCCAGCTGCCCGTGCCACCTCCCACGTCCAGCCCGACCCTGGAGGAGAGGAGGGAGGCACGGGGAGAGGGGGGAGACTGATGGCCGTGGTGAGAACTGTCACGTTGTACCCCGTCATGTGTGCCACCCAGCTGCCCGTGCCACCTCCCACGTCCAGCCCGACCCTGGAGAGGAGGGGAAGGAGGGGATGGATGATGGCCGTGGTGGTCCCGTTGTGTTTATGATGGCTGTGCGTCACCATTCTCTCATCAGGCACGGAGCTGTGATGCGTCAAGGATGGAGTGATGGTGCGTGAGCGGATTGATGAAGAGAGAGGTGCGGGAAAGATGGGGGCAAAGGAGCACGTGAGCTGTGGTGGGCAGGGCTTGACTGCCTTGACCTGTGCTCGTTTCCCCAACCAGTAACAGTTTCTCCCTCAAAACCTCCCTAGCCAGCTTTCCTCTCGCCCTCTCTTCGCCGTCAAACTCAGGAACCTCTTTTCCCACCCATTACGTCCCCATAGCATTAGCACGCACCTGAGAGCGCCCTGCTGCCACCGCACCTGAGAGCGCCCTGCTGCCACCGCACCTGAGAGCGCCCTGCTTCCACCGCACCACGTCCTGCACGGAGAGCGCCCCTCGGAAGCGCGACTGCCATCGCCTGCTCTGCACGCTCATGTTGAAGCACTGCGCGCACTCGTTGCCCGCCATGCCGTTGCTGTTGCTGTTGCTGTTGAGGCAGTGGAACGACTTGCACGCGTGGTGCTGCCACCGCACTGCTGTGTCCTGCAGGGTCAGCTGCGAGAAGAGCGATTGCGGGAATGGCATGGGCTGGCGGGGGAAGGGGGGGCGGGAGGGAAGAGAAGGGGCGGGATAGGAATTGAAGGTGTGGTGTGGTTCAGAGGACTACCGTGCGTGAGTGGCATTTCACTTGGAACCGATCTGTGGAAGCCCAAGAACATTGCAACGCCCCTCACTCATGCCCATCTTGGTTGGCTTGCTTGGTTGCCACAGGGTGAACGAGCAACAGCAACAGCCATGCGAGCAGCGCAGCAGCAGCAGCAGCACAGGTGTCCAGAGCAACACCTGCACGTCAAGGTTCCACTACGCAGGGACGACGACAATGACAAGGCATGTGACAGACTGACTGACCTCGACGTGGGCAGCTGGTGTGCGGGAGAGGCAGCGGCGCATGGGCAGGGCGAAGCAGTGGCGGTGGAAGAGCAGCGCCTGCGTGTCGAGCCAGTCGTCGGGGCACATGTGGCGCGGCTTGTAGTCCAGGTACTGCATCAGCTCCTCCTCACTGCCCTCACACGCGTACGCCTGATGGCCACGGCACGGGAGGGTGTGGGTTGAAATGGGTGGGCATGTGTCGTGTGTGCAATGGAAAAGGCATGGGAGCAAGGGTGCTTCATGGAATGGCATGGTACGAGGGGGACGAAACGCGCTGTCCATGCACAGACAAACTGGCAGTGATTCTGCCATTAGATCTCGCTTGCAAAGGAAAGGATCGCCTTGCTCATTGTCACGCCCCACTACACCACACCACACCACCACCTGGCACAACTCAACCCCCATGCCACTCTGAGTTATGAGGCCAGTCGGCCCTCATGGGACGCAGTCACGCAAGGCGCGGCTCACCTTCCACACGTGTGCGGGGTGTGAGAGCACCATGCCCATGCCCGTGCACGATGCCACCACTGCCCTCGCCCTCTCCATCGCCTGCCATGCACCGCACAGGCACACACACACACAGGCATACACAGCCACATGCCCCGTGGGTGGGCGCCGGCGTATGCACACATGCACAAAGACGCAGGAACGTGACTATCTCTGCTGCAGGCTGTGGCAGGCAGGGAAGTGAGCACGCGGCAGCGAGAAGATACAAGCATGTTAGAACACACACTGGTTCACAGAGCTAACCGGTGCTTGCATTCTGCATGGCGACAAAAGACCGGGTGCGGCTGTGGAGTCCCGTTGGAGCTCCGAAGAAAATGCTGCACAGCCCCGTTCCTCCCCTGCACGCCCCACCCCCCCGCGCTGACCGATTTGGGCATGAGGCGAGTTGCCCAGTTGATGGAAGGGGACGCTAGCTGCTTGTCCAGACGCTGCCTTGCTGTGCTGATGCGCCTTAACTCCCTCTGGCATGCATGCCATCAGACAGACCGACAAGTAGCACGGTTCACACACACACAGGAGGCAGACACAGACTCAGACACAGGCACAGACAGGCAGGCAGGATGGTAGGCAGGAAGGCAGCCATGCACACACGACCGCACTGGCATGCGGCCACACACATACACACACGTGAGTAGAGGCGCGCTTACACACATGGAACGAGGAGAGAAAGCCATGAATAAGGTGCGCTCAAACAGGACAAGTGACGACCAATCACACACCCCTCTGCCGTTCCACCTCACCTACGTCCCGACAGTTCACCTCCCTGCTTATCCACCCATACCCCAATAGGACCTGCTCCCTCACTCTCTCCCCTCCCCCCTCCCTTCCTTCCCCCTCCCCCCCCCTTCCCCCTCCCCCCCCCCTTCCCCCTCCCCCCCCCGTCCCCATCTTCCACCTTCCCCCCTCCCCCCCGTCCCCCTCCCCCACCTTCTTCTCCGCCATCTCAGCGTCCATGCGCGCCAGTCGTCCCATCTGATCCCGCAGCTTCTTGCGCCACCCCACCCCGCCCACCGCCAGCAGTGCGCGCTGCCCGCCCACCCTCGCCGCAGCACCCCACACATCCTCCGCCCCTCCTGCACGCCTTGAGGGCGCCGCTTCTTCATCCACCCCTGCCGCAATCTCATTGCCGCTGCTCTCCCCGCCGCTGCTCCCCTCATCCCCTTGCTTCCACCCATCCAATTGGCCTTCCCTCGTCTCCTCAACGCCTTGCCTCCTCCCGCCCATGCCGCCCATGCCATTCTGCATGCTCGTGTCATCTTCCGCGCCCCTGCCAGCTGGATTATCCCCGTGCACGCCAGCTGGCATGTGAAACGTGGCGGCGTGCCATTGGCGCAGCTGCTCCAGCTCATGCTTGCACGTGAGGCGCTCGCGCTGGGTGCTGCGGGGAGACGAGACAGTGACGGGGGAAGCGGAGGGGGGGCGCGGTGGGGAGGAGGGGGGCACGGGTGGGGGGGGGTGAGAGGGGGAAGGGTTGGGAAAGATGAAGGCAGGGAAACAAGGGGTGCGAGGGCACTCGTGTTTGGCGTTAGGTGTGTTGGAGAGGAGGTGTGTTCAGAGGGGGGCAATCGGTGAGTGCGATCGACGATGAGCAATCCACCCGCCCACTAAGCCAGTGCCTTCAAGCCAGTAGCTAAAGGCCTGTCCATCTTGAGATGACTTGAATTCCACGCACCACGATCTGCGTCCAGGTGTAGACACTTGTGGAAGACGCTCGCGTTCTGGCAACATGACACGTGCGAATTTTGGGGAAGCACAGGCAAGAGCGTGAAATTAGGGCTCGACACGTGGCGGCGTGCGCGGATGAGATGGCTCGGGAAGGTCGCACCTGGTGCGCTGTGATAGAAGGGAGTTAATGGCGGGTAGGAAGCCGGAGGGTCGCAGGGACGACGCTTCGACGCTGCTGGTGCGACTGGCAGACGACGTCGCGTGCGACGCATGCGGTGCGAGCGATAGCGAGGATGCGAGAATGGCTAGCGCGAGTAGAGAGGCGCCTGACATCCGGCGGTAAGCGCGATCGCGCCGTGGAATCGTCATAGAACGCTGAGTGGCGTGTGATTGAATTTGAAGGGCATCCCTCGACAGACGATTCGGCGGTGCGAAATTTGTTGCGGAGGCGAATAAACGCGGATCGCGCTGGATCCGTGTCAGCTAGTCAATTCACTGTTCGGTTGCCGGTTTGGCTTTGAGGCCTCCAACGCATAGCACCAGCTGATACTTCGTGAGGGCTTCTACGTTAGGGCTACGAGCCTCGAGACCTTCGCCTCCAATTTGCCTCTCGTGTTCACCCGATCAGAATGCACGCGCTATAGTTTGCCTCGAATCTTTACACGTAGTGCGTTCAATGAGGCGATCGAAGTAAACAATCTACATGGACCGGGAATTTTCAGGAATGAAAATGTAGAGCCATGGATAATGGTTTCGAACAGACTCTAATGATTCTACAATGCAAAGCACACTGACTGTATATGCACTATAATTACACCATAATGGACTGTCGCTGTCCTCTTGTTGTGGGCTGCTCCTCGTCCATATCTGGGTCGATGTCACTTGTGCCTCGAAGCCAGCCAAGGATACCAATTAAAAAAGAACCACGCAGAAAAAAATACACCCTTCTAAGGACGCATACAAGACCAACATAGCATCAATTGAAGCATACACACACATGCACGCACGCACGCACCCTCACCACGATCACAGGTGACATGACACGTCGGTATACCAACTTCACCCAACAGCAAGCTTTTACTTCTCCGAATACCTGCTAGAATACCCACCAGGCTGTAGCACACTCGCGATTCAGCCCCAAGTCTATGCAACTCCTCCATGATTCATTCCGCTATGCCAGCTGGCGACGCAGCATTCCTCCCCCACCCTCTTTCTCTCCACTCCCTTCCCTGCCCCCGGGCCGTCCATCAGAACTTTTCGCGCACTCCGAAAACCCCCGCGGGCCGCGAAAAGAGAAGTTGAGGGAATGGGCCAATCGGAACTCGGCAAGAAGTTTCAGCGAGTCGGCAACAGTGAGCACAGCGGAATGCCCCCCCCCCCAACCCCCCTTTGCTGCCAGTGCATGCACTTTACCCACACACCAGTCCACATGCATGGGCATCCATTAATAGGACTGCCCACAGCGAAAGGGCATGGGGGAGAGAAAGGGCATGGGGGAGAGAAAGGGAATGGGGGAGTGAAAGGGCATGGGGGAGTGAAAGGGCATGGGAGAGAGAAAGGGAATGGGGGAGTGAAAGGGCATGGGGGAGTGAAAGGGCATGGGAGAGAGAAAGGGCATGGGGGAGTGAAAGGGCATGGGGGAGTGAAAGGGCATGGGGGAGTGAAAGGGCATGGGGGAGTGAAAGGGCATGGGGGAGTGAAAGGGCATGGGGGAGTGAAAGGGCATGGGGGAGTGAAAGGGCATGGGGGAGTGAAAGGGCATGGGGGAGTGAAAGGGCATATGGGAGTGAAAGGGCATGGGGGAGTGAAAGGGCATGGGGGAGTGAAAGGGCATGGGGGAGTGAAAGGGCATGGGGGAGTGAAAGGGCATGGGGGAGTGAAAGGGCATGGGGGAGTGAAAGGGCATGGGGGAGTGAAAGGGCATGGGGGAGTGAAAGGGCATGGGGGAGTGAAAGGGCATGGGGGAGTGAAAGGGCATGGGGGAGTGAAAAGGCATGGGGTAGTGAAAGGGCATGGGGGAGTGAAAGGGCATGGGGGAGTGAAAGGGCATGGGGGAGTGAAAGGGCATGGGGGAGTGAAAGAGCATGGGGGAGTGAAAGGGCATGGGGGAGTGAAAGGGCATGGGGGAGTGAAAGGGCATGGGGGAGTGAAAGGGCATGGGGGAGTGAAAGGGCACGGGGGAGTGAAAGGGCACGGGGGAGTGAAAGGGCACGGGGGAGTGAAAGGGCATGGGGGAGTGAAAGGGCATGGGGGAGTGAAAGGGCATGGGGGAGTGAAAGGGCATGGGGGAGTGAAAGGGCATGGGGGAGAGAAAGGGCATGGGGGAGAGAAAGGGCATGGGGGAGTGAAAGGGCTGCATAGAGGTGGCAAGGGCAGTCGTTTCGCTCCAACCATGAGAGAGTGGTTGCGTTCCTTACTTTCTCCCCACACCCATCCCTTCTTCCCCATCCCTTCACCTCTCCACCTCTCAATAAGCACGCAAACGGTCTGTCACCTGCACACAGGTCAACAATCCCACGCCCTTGGCCATGGGCAGCAGTGGCCGGCGCTGCACCAACCCTCTCACAAAATCCAGTGACGAGCACCCACCCCCAAGCGCCCACGTGAACTCCCACGCGCCCACGTGCACCCTTATCACACCCTCTCACCTGCCCACACGTCACCAGCCGCATTCCCTTGGGCATGAGCAGCAGTGCTGGCGCTGCACCAACTCTCTCACAATAATCTAGCGACAAGCACCCACCTCCCCCATGCGTCCCTCTCCAAACTCCCCTCCAAACAGCCCTCCTTCTTGTTTCATATTTATTTTCATAGCATACATCGATTAGTAAGCACGCACCACAAGCCACCTGTGTCACTGACACTCCTTCAAGCGCCACCACCCACTTTAGCACCACCACCCGCTTTAGCACCACCACCCGCTTTAGCACCACCACCCGCTTTAGCACCACCACCCGCTTTAGCACCACCACCCGCTTTAGCGCCACCACCCGCTTTAGCGCCACCACCCGCTTTAGCGCCACCACCCGCTTTAGCGCCACCACCCGCTTTAGCGCCACCACCCGCTTTAGCGCCACCACCCGCTTTAGCGCCACCACCCGCTTTAGCGCCACCACCCGCTTTAGCGCCACCACCCGCTTTAGCGCCACCACCCGCTTTAGCGCCACCACCCGCTTTAGCCCCACCACCCGCTTTAGCGCCACCACCCGCTTTAGCGCCACCACCCGCTTTAGCCCCACCACCGGCTTTAGCACCACCACCCGCTTTAGCACCACCACCCGCTTTAGCACCACCACCCGCTTTAGCACCACCACCGGCTTTAGCACCACCACCCGCTTTAGCACCACCACCCGCTTTAGCACCACCACCCGCTTTAGCGCCACCACCCAGCTGCCCCAGTAACCCCCGTCCCCAGGTGTACCTGTCCATGCACAGTTAGAACGGGGAACGCGGCCAGAATGGTGCATGCCCATACGGAACTGAGTTGGCACGCCTTCCCCTGTGTGTGTGTGCCCCAGCTGCCCCAGCTGCCCCAGTGAACCCCATTCCAGCTCATCTGAAGATCTCCGTTCACTCACAGATCTACCCTGCCGTCAGCAGCAGCGGTGTGGAACCATCCTCCACACTCACATGCCACGGCAACCCTACAAGTAGATCTATTGTGAATCCAAAACCTACTGCCCCCTTCCCACCCACCCTCCCCTCCTCTACTCACATTTCCCCCCCGGCGTCAACAGCAGTAGTGTGAAGTGAAATCCCCCACACGCCACGGCCACCATAAGCTGATATCTATGCCATCGGGGCAGGTCAGGGGAGATTCGTCCACGAAGCGCTGCAAGGAGGTCCCTAGGTGCGGCTTTTGCAGCCCGTCACACGCCCTGCCGATTCACACCTGCCCATGCTCGTTGTAGCCTGGGGGTGTGTGTGTGTGGGGGGGAGAGGGGAGGGTGGGGGGTGAGAGGAAGTATGGAGAGAGGGAGGGAGGGGCGGTTAGAGATGCATCGTTCCTGACTTGCTGGAAGGAGGCCACTAGGTGCAACCTTTTGAGTCGACTTAAAAGTCAAGTGCGGCTGCTGCAGCCCGTCATACGCCCTGCCTGCCCATGCCCAACTGCCCATGCTCGTTGTAGCCTTGGAAGGGACTAGTAGTATACATCGTTCCTGACTTGCATGGGTAGGAGGCGAGTGCTGGGAGCATCAGCAACACATGAATTAAATGCTTGCATTCAACCATACCATGCCATTCTTGACCCCCTTCGCTAGTATTTCTTCTGCCCGCACTAACGCCATGCCTGCATCTCCCACCCCACCACACCATGCCTTGCCATGCTTACCCTCTCCCACTCACCCCAAATCCGCAGCAGACCGGTGTTACACACAGCAGCAACGTGCGAGTCGCCACAGGACACCTGAACAACCACCTGGAAGAAGGTCAGGGGGCAGGGCGGGTGAGGGTACGGAGGGTGAGGGTACGAAGGGAGAGGGGCATGAGAGAAATGGGGATATCTTTCTTTGAACCTGAAGTCCCCAACGGCTGAAGTTCGAACATTCAGGTGGCCTGTGGCAACCTAAAATCCCGCACGACATTAGTGGCTCAGAGCGTGTGTTTAAACGACCGAGACTTGTGGTAACCATCACAAGTAAGACGATCACAAATACTACTACAAGTATCACAAGCAGCAACTGAACATGCACAAAGATAGGTAGAATTGACGTGCACCCCACCCTACCTACCATCTAAAACGCATACAGCCACATTCTCTGATGCTTGCTTGAAAGCACGACGAGACTAGTGGAGAATGAACAGACACACATACAAATGGACGAGTGAGACCCGTACACTGTGGGTGACTGTAACGAATGGCAGATTGAAGTGCAGGGCTCATCGTTTTGGGAGGAAAGGCTCCTCGCATGAGGCTAGGGAGGTTGGCATTTTGCAGAACGAGGAAATAAATAAAAAGGCAATGAGAATAAGGGAGATGAAAAGAGAGGAGAACGCAAAGTGAGTCAACGAATTGAGTCAAACGAACAATGGCCAGACGTAATAAGACCAGTACCCTGTGATAAGTGTGTCCACGTCCATGTTGAGACTAAGAAGGTGTATGCGGAACGAAGTGACATCTGTCTCTACCACCCCACCTGGTAGTACCGCTCTGTACCAGCCAGCAAAGCTTTGTCGCATTACAGTGCTCTGTGCTGAATTTAGGGTAGTAAAACAAGTCAATGGAGTCAACAGAGTCAATGGAGTCAATGGGTCAGTACAGTCAACGGATTCAACGCACCTGCTCCTCTGATCAGTACCGTCGCCCAGCTGTCCGTACTCATTCGACCCCCACGTGAACAGGCTTCCAACAATGCTCAGTGAGAAAGAACAGTGAAGCCAATGGAGTAAACCGAGTCAACGGAGTCAATAGAGTCAGCTGAGTCTACCCACCCGCTGCTCTGCTCTGCGCTGTCGCCCTGCTGCCCGTACTCGTTTGACCCCCATGTGAACAGGCTTCCATCGATCCCCACCGCCGCGCTGTGTTCCAACCTGCACGCCACGCTAACAAGCGCAACGGGCCGCCCGTCCTGCGCGCGGAAATTCTCCCCCGCGATCCGCAGCGGCGCGCGCTGGCAGCGCCACGTGCGCGAATCCCCCCGTAGTAGCCCCGCGCGGTGGCTGGTCTGCCCGCGGAGATAGAATCCCCAGAGGCAGAGCGCGGTTCTACGGGCTGGGAGAGACCGGCGATCGCGGCTGAAGACGCGGCTGGAGGTACGGCGGGAGGTACGACAGGAGGTACGGCGGGAGAATCGATAAAGCTGGCGTTGTCGCGATCAAGCCCGTCCATTGGTACTTAAACTGGAGCTTAGCTAGCCTGTAGCTCAAGCTAAGCTGCGCGGTTTCTCAGGATCGTAAGCACCTTAGTCGGCAATAGTCTACTTGCTATCGCCTATCGTGTTCTCCACGATCTCCCGAATCCAATGATATGCGCAGCTCTGCTTGAAGTTGTCAATACACACTTCAGCAATTTTCAGAATCTGATTGGTATCAATGTTGTATTTCCAGAATGAGTACAAACAGGTTTATAGTCAAGCAAGACACAAAATGCGATTCGTAACTTCACTTGTTTCCCAAGTAACCGCGTGCGCCTCGTTTCACCCCTAGTCGCACACGCAACCGAACCGAATTCGGTGAACACTCCGCAAGTCCGAATCCCGAACTTTCTCGAACGCGCCTTGGTCTCGAAGCACATTTTTCCCCTCGTCAATCTCATTCTCGATGCTTCTCCTTCTCTCTCCCTCCTTCTAGCACATTTCTTCTCGATTTCTCTCCCGCTTCTCACGCCGTAGCCTCTATTCCCCACCGTAGGCCGATTTCCACCGTTTCACACACGCGCTTCCATTTCGCCGTCATTCCGCCGTCGTAGATGCTTTCGCCTTAGGTTCCGTGGTTGGGCGAACCAACCCTAACACGGTTAAGCTCGAGGGGCTGGGCGGAAGGCGGGCGAGCAACCAGCGGGGAGACGGGGTGGAAGCTGAGAAGCGCAAAGCGCGGGAAAATAGCACCAGCACACATGTTTTGCCTGAAACGTGGCAACAAGAAGCTGAATGTGGGAAGCTTGTGGAGACTAAGTGAAATTGCTCCAACGGTCACACTCCCGTAGATACACGGAAAGGCTGCACTGCAAGATCAACGTGACCAGCTTTCATGAGTTGGGCTGGTTGGGAGGCTTCGGCTCAGCGCGCGGTACTGTAGAAGCTGGTTGTCAGCACTAGGGAGAAGATCATACAGGGGCCGAACAGTGCCAGAGGGGTGATCAACCAGGGGCCGAGAGGCCCGGAAATTACCAAACCGCTTCGCAAGGAGGAATTAACAGAGAGTCTTCATTTATTGCACGTAATTATGTTACTAGTGGCATGTACCGGCTCGCATTTTCGCTCGGGTGTCGTTTAGCGAGCCGACTCTACCGGGAACTCTAGGGCAGAAAAAAAAAACTAAAACTCATTGGGAACCTGGATGCAATTTCGGGATGGATAAACCCTAAAAAATTGACCTTCCTGGTATTTAGGGTTGATCCCTCCCGAGTCGCATCCGTTTCCGAATGGGTAATATTTTATTTTTTTCTGTGGTTTCCGATTGGATAGGTGGTAGGCATCACCCAGAATATATTATGTTGTTACGTAATCACGATTTTGTCAGATTTATATGACATAGCTATTGTAGGCTATAGTGGGGTAGCACATATGGGGTACAGTTTTCCTAGGGTTTGCATTTGTACCCAACTTTCCCTTAGTCATCATTCCTCGTTTCTTCTCATGGTATCGAGTAGGTTCCCTAGTGGGAACGATTCCTAGGGCCCACCACCACGAATTTTTTTTTTTCCTGCCCGGAGCGCGCTTCGCTCCGGCCCGAGTCGCGCCCGGTGTGCTCTCCCTATCGTCGCGCCCTCGCTAGGCCCCTCACGGCCCCGTCGCGTCGCCCTTAGCGGCCCTCTCACGGCTCGTTGCGCCGCCCCTACGGCCCTTCGCGCCGCCCTTACGGCCCTTCGTGCCGCCCTTACGGCCCGTCGCGCCCGTCGCGCCGTCCTTACGGCCCCTCGTGCCGCCCCTTACGGCCCCTCGCGCCGTCCCTTACGGCCCCTCGCGCGGCCCCTTACACCCTCCGCGGCCCCGCCACCTACCTTTGCGGCCCCGCCACCTACCTGTGCGGCCCCGCCACCTACCTGCGGCCCCGCCACCTACCAGCGGCCCCGCCACCTACCCGCGGCCCCGCCACCTACCTGTGCGGCCCCGCCACCTTCCTGCTGGCCCCGCCACCTACCTGCGGCCCCGCCACCTACCAGCGGCCCCGCCACCTACCTGCGGCCCCGCCACCTACCTGCGGCCCCGCCACCTACCAGCGGCCCCGCCACCTACCTGCGGCCCCGCCACCTACCAGCGGCCCCGCCACCTACCAGCGGCCCCGCCACCTACCTGCGGCCCCGCCACCTACCAGCGGCCCCGCCACCTACCTGCGGCCCCGCCACCTACTAGCGGCCCCGCCACCTACCTGCGGCCCCGCCACCTACCTCAGCGGCCCCGCCGCCTCCTCCCAGCGGCCCCGGACGCCGCCCTCTCAGCGGCCCCGCCGAGCCGCCCAGCAGCCGAGCCGCCCAGCAGCCGAGCCGCCCAGCCGCCGAGCCGCCCAGTAGCCGAGCCGCCCAGAAGCCGAGCCGCCGAGCCGCCCAACAGCCGAGCCCCCGAGCCGCCCAGCAGCCGAGCCGCCGAGCCGCCCAGCAGCCGAGCCGCCGAGCCGCCCAGCAGCCGAGCCGCCGAGCCGCCCTGCAGCCGAACCACCCGAGCCGCCCTGTCCGTTAAGAGCAGCGCCTCTTTCACAGCACTGCCCTCACCCTACTGTTTGCGCTGCTAGTCTACTGCTGTCATGGCTACCCCTAGTGTCCTCGCTTTTGACGCTGAGGGTCGGGCCATTGACTTTGACGTCTGGATAGATGACCTGCAGCTTTTCTTACAGTGCGACAGAGCAGACGGCCTCTCCCTCTTTGACCTCACTTCTGGTGCCTCTCCTGCCCCCGCTGCTGATGCTGACACCACTGTTCGCTCACAGTGGGCCACGCGCGATGCTGCTGCACGTCTTGCTGTGCGTCGCCACCTGCCTACCTCTGAGCGTGCGCACTTTAGCCAGTACAAGAGTGCTCAGACCTTGTACGACGCTGTAGTTGCGCGCTACTCCTCCCCTGCCACTGCTGCACTGAGCCGCCTCATGCTA